GAGCATCCAAGATCTGTGATACCAGCTGGTGAAACTATTATGTACTTTCTGTGTGAATATTTAATTTCAAAAGTTGATTTTTTTATAGCAATATTCAGTCCAGTAATAGAAAGATTGAGCTCGATTTTAATTAATAAATGAGCGACAGATAATACCTTATAATTATATGCTTATTAAATGGAACATTAATGTTGGAATGCTCTCGTCTATATTGTACATTAGTTTCTCAATCTGAACTAGTAATTCACAGTCAGACTGAGTCCTATGATGTTACAAGTGAACAAATGTGCAGTAGATGATGTGTTTGCACTTAACTTTCTAAAAATCAGTGAAACAAAGGGTGATAAACTGCGAACAACTGGAAATCTCTCACCCTACTGGCATTCATTATTTGTTCTTAGTGTAAGAAAACTAATATCCCCTTACTGAGGGAGTAAATGTAAGACATTTTCTTTGGTGGAGGAAGTTGACATCCCAATAAAAATGGAAGCTTAAATATGGCCACAGAACATTTTTCAGGCATTGCTTAGCTCCTGTTGTTTACAGTTATTTCTGGAAAAGATTCTGACTCGCTGGACTGAATTTGTTTAGCAAATAAATCAAAGCTTCTGCACTCTCATACCCTTAATTGATGTTTTATTTCTAAATTAGGTGTGTACAATGGAGGCAATAGAATGGCAGCTTTTGTTTATTTTGCATTAGACTTGCAGGTGTGCCGTAGTTCCAAAAACAATTGAATTTATAGGTTAACAAAGTCAAAGATCTTACAATGCATGGTGATTTCCATAACAAACACTACCACAGCTCCACTGTGTTATATTCTCAAAATCCTCAAATAAAAACTATTGCAATCAAATAATAACTGGGTTGGCTCACACAAATACAGGGAGGAGAAAAGTAGAGAGAAGAATTACAACTCTAAAAATGGCAACATAGAAATTACTATAATAATAGTGGTTTTAAGTTGACTGAAACAATTGGCATATTTCTTCTATTGTCATAAATAACGTCAAGATAAGTGCTCAAAGCAACTACTACCACAGCTTTAGTGTCGACTGAAACTTTGTTGGTGTGCCGAAGTGCTGTACAGACTGTATTGGGCTGTATAAATAAAAGGACTGGACATGGGCGGCACGGTGGTGCAATGATTAGCACTGTTGCAAGAAGGTCGTGGGTTCAAACCCCGGTTGCTCCAGCCTTTCTGTGTGCAGTTTGCATGTTCTCCCCGTGTCTGCGTGGTTCTCTCTGGGTTAATTGGCAACCCTAAATTGTCCTTAGGTGTGAGCGGGAGTGGTTGTTTGTCTATGTGTGGCCCTGCAATGGACTGGCAACCTGGTGTACACCGCCTTGCCCCGATGTCTGCCGGGATTGGCTCCAGCCCTGTATGCAGGATAAGCGGTTGACGATGGATGACTGGACATGAGCACTGAAACAATTTACTATTTGAGACAAAGACATATGGTAGATATAAGTTTTCCTGATTGGTTTGAAATTTGCACTATAATGCTATGCAGCATTTAAGGAGTCACTACACTTCCTACTTATAGTATACAAGACTTTTCAGTGTTTGTAATTACTTTTTGATATACTTAATAATGTCACTTTCACAACACATCACACATTCTACTACTACTATTATAGCCTTACTGCAGAATGGAATTAGGACTAACCACAGTACTTTAAGATAGAAGATATGTGATTTTAGTGTGACTTCACAAGCTAAACAAATATCAAATCCATCTCAGGATGACAACATCAAAACTTTCCAGTCATTGAGTTACCTGTCAGTCTGTATATCTTCATGTTTGCTCCTCTTGGTTCGTATTTTAAAAAGCTAGAGTGGACAGGAACTGGACCAGAACTAAGATGCAACAGTGTAAAATGACCCAAACTATCAACTACAAGCAAACAAACACATCAGCTGAGAACTTCATGTGCTGCCTCACCCAGTCAGAGAGTGAGGAAGAGGAGCAGTCTAGTCAGATTGCTCTTCATGGTGAGATGTAAAGGAACTAGTTGAAGTTCATTGGTTCCCATTGTAACCTTACATTTACTGCAGCCACACATGTCAAGCACACACAGTCAGCCACTGTCCACCCTTCATAATTCTGTTTCCGGTTCCTCTGTTTTACTTTCCTCCGGGGTTCTCTATGAGTGTGACTGTATGTATGTCGCAGGTTCTCTGCAGGATTAGATCCAGGCGTGGGATGGACTGGAAGAGTCCGCTGAGAGGCACACAACATCAGACTACCTCTGTGGGGGAGAGAGAGGGAGAGAACAAGGAGAGGATGAAATAGGAGTGGGGGATGTCAGAAGGAACGAGTAAATGGCCCGTGAAGCCAGATGGATAGAGGGATGGAGGAGGAAGAAGAGATGGGAAGTGATGAAGACAGTGGCAGACAACAGGATGGAGAATGAGAGGAGGTGAAAGACATGAAGAAACAGAGCCAATCACAACACAGCAAATGGGAATAGAAAAGGTAAGAGGATAAGAGAGGGCACTAAGGCTGTGTTATAGGATATACAAATGGGTTCCAATAGCCACATTCCATTTTGGATCCGGTTTCAGCTCTGAAAATTACCCAGATTCACAAAGCTCCAACAAGTCTTGAGTCAAACCTTTTGTCTCTCCTTTATCTTTTTTATTAGCAAAGAGCAATGTAGAAACCAGAGCTAATGGTTGCTTTTGCCAGTTTACCATTGTCACTGTCTTAGTTTAGCTTGTTAGCATGTTAACATTTGTTAGCTAGCAGTAAACCCAAAGTATAACTGAGGTTGATGGGAATGTCATTAGTTCTGCAGGTACACGGTCAGAAACCAAAGGATTGTACGCATTGAGACTTTGACCTGAAGATAGTGCTAGATGAAAATTCAGAACATTGCCAGTTATTCCAGTTCATCCTGAGGGGAACATGAATCTGTGTACCAAATTTGATGGCAATGCATTCAACAGTTGGTGAGTCAGCACTCAAAACCACATGTCAACCTTATGGTGGCAATAGAGGAAAAGTCAGGGGATCACCAAAGTGTTTACGCATCATCCTCTGGAATATCTGTACAGAACTGACTGGGAAACCATCCAAAAGTTGTTGTATTTCCGTCTGTATTCATTTCTTGTTTTGTCAGATTCCAGACTCACAGACAGACGGACAAGCTTCAGTTAATCAGGTGGTCAGATAATCAGACAGTTGGATAGCACCTCAAGGTGGTGGAGGTGATGGTGCTAGTGGTTGTAGCTTGTTGTCCATGGGCCATAAAGCAGTACCAGCCTGGCATCGCCATGGTGATATAGTGAGGTAGGAGCATGTGGAGGAGGCATATGATGTGTATGTCATCCATTTACATGCAGATACCATCAAATATGGGGGAACAGAGGAGATAGGACTGAACTGATGGAGGAAGGAAATGCAAGGAAGCAGAGAAGGACAGATAAAGGAGGTAAGGAGGGAAAAAGGGAAGAGGGGAGAAGGCAGTGCGAGGCGGGTGGGGGGCGCACAGAGCCTCCAGCTGGAGCCCCTCTGTGCTGCAGGAACACACCCCGAGGCTCTCTCACACACACACACACACACACACACACACAGCATTCAGTCCAAGGCAAGTGAGAGCACACACGGGTGCAAACACTCACAGCAGAGCACACATTCACACATTCAGACACACACACACACACACACACACACACACACACACACACTCATCACCTCATGTGCCCATTACACAAGCCAGGGCCAGCCGGTGCATCTGAATGAAATCATCTCTTCCCTATATGTCTCTTTCTCTCCATCCATCACCACCTTTTCCCTCTTTCCTACATCTCTCCTTTGTCTCTTGGGTTGTCTATTCTTCCTTTCCATCTCCATCTTCCACCACCATCACCTCAGGCAGCTCTCCGCAGTGGCCAGAGCAATAAACTCAGGGACCCTGCTATCACAGCAAACCAATTATCCAGCACCAGGGGAACACGCAAACACACTCAGACACTGCCCTCTGCCTAGTCACTAAAATACACACACAAAGCTGATCACAGATCACCTGCACATGCATGTGTTCACACATACGGAAATAGAAAGCAATGCAAATCAAAGCTAAATAAATAAAATAAATAAATTATTAATTTCAGTAATTCAAAGATGGACGGATGAAATTAACGATTTGCTTAAACCTCCCGAAATATCTGGACACAAGTGCGTTATCTTTTATGTTTGAAGCTAGTTCAGCAAGCCAAAAATGGATTATTATATGAAGGTAGAATGTGCACACTGTTTGGCATCTACAGTCTGATCTCGGCCCTCCCCAGGGGGAAGCACTGAGCTCAGTACAGCAGGGAGTGGTAATCACTTTCCTAAGTATGGAAATGTAGACTCAGAGTCTGCAAGTGGATTTTGGTGTTTATGACATTCTGTATGAACACCTCCATGATCAAAAGGGGGCACTGAATTTATTTTTCAGGAGAATTCCATTTATATGTCACAGCAGATGCCCACCTCACTGGAATTTTTATGTATGGGATGATGCATCAGGATACTCCATTGTCTTATTTGCCACGCTCAAAGCACATCTGTCTGCAAGACATTTCAAGTGTGTGCTATTTGGGCATCAAATGATGTGTTGACTTCTAGAAGGATTTGGGGTATATGTTGTTGCATCTGAACGTATCTGCACTCCAGGCACAGGCACGTGGATTGCCCAACACTGGCTTAAATTGCTACCAAAATGTGTCATTGACCATTCCTCCCATACAGGACATTCAGGATAACAGAGAGAAACTCTGCTCTGAGGATTGTGTAATTAGATATACTAGATACTTCTGAAATGATGTTCTTCACACTCAAAAAAAAGATGCACTTGGGGCCACCCAACCTTGAAAAAAAAGGCCAAAATCTTTTGTAAAAGTGATCATAAGAATGTTTAAATTTGACATAAAATGGAAATGAACGTGATACCTCATCCAAGTACTTTTTTTTTTACTTGTGTGCAGTGCAGAAGTAGAGGTTACTCACCATGGAGAGCCGTAGATCCGGAAGCCCCGCACTGTGACCTCAGAATCTTGCAGGTAGATGCAGTTGGTGAGCAGAGACTGGACGTTCTCATAATTCTCCGGCTTCAGCTTGGAGGCAGAGGGGAAGTAGTAGAAGTCCTGCTTGATCAGGTCAGCCATAAACTCCTGGTCAAAGGTCAACTCGTGGTTTCCAGCGATTACTATCTTGATGTCGTAGGGCAGGGTACCTGGCAGGGAAGGAGAAGGAAGTGACAGAAAGGAAAGGGCAGGGGGAAAGGAGGGAGGGAGAGAATAAAAGAATGGGAGAAAGGTAAGAAGACAGCAGCAAAATGAAGGAAAAGATGGTAGTGATTGGGAAGTGATGCAGAAATGTGGAGAGGAGGCAAAATTTCATGAAAAAGAAGGTCAGATGAAGAGTGACGAAGCCAGAAAATGAGGTGGCACAAAGATAAATTAGAGGGAAGAGAGAGGGTTTAGAAGAAAAGACAGGAGGGGAGGAAGAGAAGATGTGTAGATGAGGAGAAAGGAGGTGGAAATGGTGATGGAAAGAGAGAAAGGATTAAGAAAAGGATGTAAAATGAAGGACAGGTAGAGGAGGAAATAGAAAATGGAAGGAGACATAAGGATATAGATGGGGAAGATGAAGAGACAGGAGATGTAGGGGAGGGGGTGAGAGAAAGGAAATGAAGGAAAGAGGGGTGGCAGACAGAGTGGGGAGGGACAGGGAGAAGAGGGAAAATTGAGGACGACATGAAACCCATCCCAGACGGCTTGGCATTCACATGCGACAAGGCTTTCTCATTGTTTCCCTCTCCATTTCTAGCAAATCTGTACATCTGTCTTAGCTTCCCTCCATCAGTCAAGGTCTCAACCCAGTGCACTGCTGTCTTCTGTTTATGGAAGCATAGCTGAACGCATCCATCAGGGAATCTTTATCTGGAGGAATAATCAGGATGGAAAGCAGAAAGAGCGACCATTGTGAAGTTTACGATGCAGAATATTAAACATTTACCGACTACAGCAACCACTGCTGCATCTTTCCCCCTTTCTCTCTTATCATCCTCTTCTGCTCAAACACCCACTCTTTCACATCAGCCCCTATTTTCTTCTCCGTCTCAATGGCTTTAATTGGCCATTCAGAGCCCAGCACAGCGGGGCCCGCGATCGATCTGCGCCCATCAAACCCAGCAGCGGCCGGCCCTTTCACAAATCTACATGAAGTTTTCAAAGCTCTGCTGACGAAACAGAGAGCCAACTCTGACAAACATGCGGGGGTCTGCTTTGTCAGGTAGAGCGGATGACGGAGAGTTCAATCACCATGGCTTTTTTTTATATTACTGCCAGGATGGTGCGGCATGCAGCTGAGCAGACCGGTTTGTGTGTCACTTTCCCTCGAGTGTGCGAGTTTGCATGCATCTGTGCATGCACGTGTCATGTTAGTGAAAAGGAGTAATTAAACTGAGCTTTAGAAGAGGCTGACAGCCCGGCGACGGCTCTGTCATAACAGCCAATCACAGCCCGATGACAGAAAGAGAGAAAGAGTGGGGGGATAGAAGGAGGGAGAGGAAGGAGAGAGCGACAGAAATACTTTAGGAAGCCCAAAAATCCTTGAGTGTGAAGGAGGAATAATAACAAGATGAAAGCAGCTGTCAAAGAGTGCCCATCTCTGCAGTTTGGGTCGGGGACGCCCCCTCCCCCCAACACAGCTCCCATTTGTTTGGCAGAAGGGCTTGTGTTTAGTTGTCAAGCTGACACCAAAAAAGCCCCGTAAATGAGAGGCTGCCCCTCCACAAAGGCACACGCCACCGCACAATCAGAAGATGTTTTAAATTCCTTTATGTCAGACTTTGGCATTTGAAGTAGCGTTCACTCAGTCATCCCTGGATAAACCAAGGTTGAAGGAAGACTACCAAATAAAATTTTGATCATTATTTCTGTCTCTGTCTCTGTCAAGTGTTGAAGGTATTGGGGCTGTCTTCTTACAGCTCCAAAAAAAAATCTGAATGTCTAATGCAGTGCCATCGTGTTTTCCACATCCTATAGACTGCACTGTGGGTCCTGGAGTCCAATATTGACCTCTCTCTCACAAGTATTGAGAAATATAATAGGTGGGGAAATACAGAAATATTCAAGTAAACATTACACTTTTGGACCCCGTGTGATTTCATTGGAAGAATAAACGTTGATTACTTTGCATGAAATACTTGGAAAAATTCTACCATAAATTTGAATGCACTGCACTGGTACAGATTTATCAGACAACACATATTTTCTCTGCAGCCATAATGACGACTGTGATAGTTTCTGGGGGGGGGGGAGCTTACCAGGAAAGGAGCCAAGTGGCCGCATGGGAGCACAGACTCTACCTGGAGACTTGTTAAGCTAGTTGTTTCAGTCTTTGAAGACTGGAGCAGCCTGAGTGTGATGTGATAGATGAAAACTGGACTGACCAGAGAGTGCATGCATAGCACAAATGCTAAGTATAAATGAAAAATTAATGAAGTAAGGTCAAGCAGAAGCTATCTTTAATCTTTAAGCTCTGACCTGTAATATTTATTTTCTACTCCAAGTAAGATAGGGGAAATTTTCTCTGAGGTGGCATGCTTTACATCCAACAGTAAAACCTGGGCTACCTTCATCTGCAGATAAACATAAAGAAATGTAATGATTCAAAGGGAATCATCCACAGTGACACACCGACAGTAATGTTCAAAGACAGACAAGTTGAGGAAGAATGAAAGCTGCTTTGGATGAGGTCCTCAGCAAAATGGAGAAACTGTATGTGTGCCCATGCATTTGTGTGTGTGTGTGTGTGTGAGCCAGAGGGAAGACAAATTTAAATAAAAATACTTTTCAATAAATAAACACTATCTGTGTCTCCTCAGATATTCTGCAACGTGAGCAGTTTTTCACCCATGAAGTTTGATGGCCAACTGTAAACTGAGAGAAATAAATCACACGGAGAAATATAAAACTCCACCAGCTGGACACAAATACCTCACCATCCTCCTACACACACACACACACTTAGCAGAATTAAATTTCAATTTCACGGATGAATTTTTTTAAGTTTTCTCCAGAAAAAAGCTGCATTGACAATATGAGAATACCAACTAAGCTGCACATTACATTGTTAAATTGGAGTAAAAGCAGCCAGTTTTTGCATATGTTTATTGCTGGAATTTTCTGTCCCAGCCAACAGCTCAATGAAAAAATAACAACAATCCAAAAAAGAAATTCAACAATGCAGTCTCTTATTGTGCAGGTCCACAAAGAACAAATCCTTCACAAAAAGACAATTTCTGCATCAAATGAGAATGGATGTGTTGCTTCTGTGACAAAAGACAGAGAAGAAAAGGGAGGAGGATGCGGGTGGAAGTGTGTGAGTGTGCGGGGGGGGCATCTAAACATTTGGGGAGACATTCACCCACAACACGCAGGCCGCTCTTTGTCACCCTGCCATCTTTTGTCTTTGAATTCAAAAGGCTGCTTTAAAGCAACAAATAGTTTTAATTTGTCGGTGAGAGAATCAGCAGGGGCGCAGTATGGATGGCCACCTTGTGTTCTGCCGCATCATCGACTTCAGTCTTTCCTTCTGTCCCTTCATCCTTTTATTCCTCTCTGGTTATTTTTCAATCTCTTCTCAGTCAGTGTCTACTGTTTCGTCAAGCGCCTGCCCCCCTAAAGTCTCACATCTCAGACCTGCTCTCTGTCTGTCACCACAAAAACCTGCATCCTCCCATGAGCTCCACAAGGCGGCAGGTATGTATATGGTCCTGGAGCTCTGTGCTTAAGCATGCATATGATTTTGTTTATGTGCATGTGTGTGTGTCTTGATACATAACACTGGCTACAGTATCTGTATGTCTGTGGACTCCCTCCCCCGCCACAGGAAATCTTCCGAGTTCAGCCACCATTGTTCCAAAGCTGCAATGGGTGGTCTGCTCTTTGAAGAGGAAAATCCCTGCCCTGCCCAAAGCTCTGGCATGTACAGGGGGATTACTGCCCATTGTGCATACATGTGTGCGCATTATTATATGTGTGTTTGTGTGCATGCAGAAACAAAAACGCCAGAAATGTCCTGCCTGCCAAGACAAACTTAATTTCTAACTGTGTGTATGTGCGTAGATACCTAGTAGCCAAAATGTCTTGCCAAATAACTTAATACGAAAGTGTGTGTATGTGTTTGTAGAATGTCTATGAGTGTGTATGCAGTTGCAGAAAACAGGGGCCAAATACTTCCTGCCAACCCAAAATGCTTAAATTAATACTAGTGTGTGTGTGTCAGTAGGACTGAATTTATGTGCACAAGAAGCATTTGCCAAAACTTTCTGTTCAAATGTTAAAGGAAAAGTTCAGTTTGTTACAACTGAAATCTTATTTTTCATAGCGTAGGAGCCATTTTTGTGTGTGTGTCGTTACCTACATTCCAAACCCCCCCTACGATATTGTATTTCAACATCTTTCACTGTTGTCGTGCAGGCCAAATTTTCATTCATTTTTCTTTTGTTGCATCACTTGATAATTTTTACCTTTCATTAGCATTTTGTAAGCTTTAGAGCAAGTGAGGCAAGTGAGGTAAAAGTGGTGATCCACTTCCTAAGTCTGATTTAAATTGTTTTCTCTCCTCTGTTTATGACCTAAGAACAGGCAAACCTGAGAAACAGTGCATCACTAAATAAACCTAAAAGCATTCATGTTTTCTTCCAGGTGACTTTTCATGTGACTTTATACACTCCAAACACAATGTACTGTACATAAATGTTAGCGAGTTATGTAAGATTACTGTCAATGTCTTTCTTTTTGGCTGGAAATGTATTTTAATCAACATGTCACCTGGAATGCGACACGACTGCCTTGTTTTTTATAGTAATGTCTGTCGGACGCCCTTTTTCTATTTATTCCTGTTTCTCTTTGTTCATGCTGAAAGCCCTGCATGGAAACGGTTGACTAATGAAGTTGAAATGTGGTGTTATCTAGGTAGCGGTGGCAGCTGGCTGGAGGGAGCTAGCCAGGGAGCTGGAGGGTTCTGGTAAGATACAGGGCTGCACGATTTGGAGAACAAGTCATATTGCGATTTGTAATTGCAATAATGAAACAAATGGTGCTTGATTATTAAGGAAAATGTACAAAATACAGATATTTTGAAATATGTATAATATGTATTTCTCAGCTCAAATAAAGTTTATCAAACATAAGAAGAAATACAGGGTTTGTTGCCACCAGT